CGTATCCTGGATTGTTCCGGACGAACGGAAGCCAATCCTTAAAGACAGCGATATTGACATACAAACATAAGGATTTCTGTCATAAACATGGCCCATGAATGAACATGTTAGCGAATTTATTCCCAAAAAACAGACTATTCTGTTTTAAAAAGAAATGTGTTCTTTTCCGATTTCCCACAAAACTCTAGCAAAGATCTGCTTGAGGCGGCTATACAAGCTCAAAAACCATTCACGTCGTGGACTGGTCCGATCCTGGTAACCTGGCTAGAAGTAAGTGAAATCTGGATGTCACACTAGTTGTATTTTAAGAGAGCAGGATGGAGATTGGATTTTGATAAAATGTTTCCGTTTTAACCCCAGCCGTATTATTATATTATGCAACTATGGCATATTATAATATTTATTTAATTCGCTCATTTTACGTCATGCCAAATACGCGTAGTACGATGGAGATATCTTATTTCGTTCTAAATCTGTGATAAAGATCTTGATTTTGATTGTTTGGTACACAAAAGTAGATGTGTTTGTTCCTTTTCTCCGGCAAAAGAGAAATAGAATGTTATCCATAAGTAACACGCAAACCGTATGTTGTAAAACTGAATAAATGTAGATCGACTGGGTAATGTTGCTACTAGAGTAATACTATTTGCAAATGCTTACCCGTAGGTGTTAGGCGAATGATCGAGATATGTCATAGTTTTTGGGGCTCCTGGGACTAAGCAAGTTTACAGTACCATCTTCCGAGAACACGCTTTAACGAGAGTCTAAAAACCCCTTGGAATAAGCGCGAATCAGCCAAACGTTTCTATGGGGCTTGAGTAGTATATGTCACTGGCAATTCTAATAAGGTTAATGTCCACCACGAGCATCCGTATTTGATGAGGCAATAACCTAAAATGATATTGGGACGACAATAAAGATGCTGGGACAACTGAAATGATTAGGGAACATCTTGATGGGTTATGGAGACCATCTGATTTGCAGAAAGTAGTCCTATTTATCTTTTGCAGAAATCGTGATTGCAGAATTTGGCTCAATCTGGGGTGTTTAGTAGAGGTCCAATTGAACTGATTCTATAGTAGATAATAAAATATAAATTGAAGTTTAGTATAATTCTGTGTTACCTTTCAATTATGAAGTTTAGGCAACTGAGGTTCACTAATTATTCTGAACTGTTCGGGAGAGTGATTTCACAGTCAGTGAAAAGTGGTTAAACTCAACAAAGGGACTATTAGTTCTATTTAAAGAATGCTGACATTCATTTTGCAGAAGGTAAAAGGATTAGAATATTTGATAGTGTGATCTCCTTCGAAATTTTCTCCATAATTCCCTAAAGTTTTCCATACGTCTTTTCTTCCAAGCGCTGGGTCGGAATGCCAGCCTGGTATGTAGCTGCGTGCAGGGCCAATGTTAAATCCGGTGCGGTATTGGCATCTCTGTCCGATCAAGATATACAAAGAGAACTGGGAATAAGCAACCCGTTGCATCGTCTCAAACTTCGACTGGCTGTGCAAGAAATGCTAGCGTTTACCGCTTCATTGACCAATCCATCCGGTGGGACCACAAACGATCCACTATCACGCTCTCTGTCCCGTCTGCATCTGGCATCTCCTCTGATACAGGTTTGTTTATTTGTTTTTTTTCGTACACCATGATGTTTCTGTCTAAATGCACTGCTTACAAGAAGTGCTTTGTCACAAGCCTTGAAACACATTCATTGAACTGATTTTGCAGTTTATGTAATCATAAGATAGGCTAGCTCCCTTATCGGTAATATTCGGTTTTCTGAATTGCTAAGCGCCAATTCCGTAACACAATGAAAGATGAAAGTATTTCAACTTGTCGATTACATCGCTGTTCAATACACTAGTTGAGTGACGAAAAATGAGGGCATTTTGTTTTTATAGTAAATCATCATTAAAACAACCACTTAGCTGATTCAGGATATAAAACTCAAGGACTTTTCTTTTAGCACCAATTGCCAATAGTTTAGAACAGAATCAATGATTAGCGCGAACGAATCGTCCACAATGGGAAACTGTAGATAATAATACATGTTTAAACCAACAATGGTAAAAACGAATTTTTGATATTTTCTCATACTTTTGGCGATGGTACAAATATGTCACGAAAAATAATCGCTGAATGTTAGAAGACCTAATTTATTGAAATAGCTCATGGTTGTTCGTGGATCTTGATCACGGTCGGTGAGATGTCGCAGAATCACTTGGTGTCAGAAAACGGCATGCAATTTCTTTGGATCAGAAGAAATAAGAAAAAAACCCGTCTGAAATAACCAGTGCAGCATAACATTTTTTAAGTTATTGAATCATGATGTTAAATAGATTTGTTCATAAACTCTAATGTATAAGAGACCCAGTGAAGAATCCGAGAATCACAGTTAAAAATACCGATGACAGCCAGATTTCACCTTCCAACTCAGGTATAATATTGTTACTCGTTGTCAGCAATGTCGTTAAATGTTAAACGTATATGCGCAATCACTTACGACTCAAAGGAAGCGGTTAAATTCTAAAGAATCTTGGTCCTGATGGATTTTACTCGCTAGATTACCGAGGGCATAGACGGAATCCCTAACCCAACGCAAAGACTCATTTAAACATTTATCTCAGAGTACGATTACCGATTTGTACAGTGACGCAATTTGCTTTATTACCCGGACTATAGAGACCAGTTACTACCGAGTTTATTCATTCACGTCTAAAATCCACTCCATCATTGATCAAGGACATGACATCACTCAGGGGGTGGTGTTGGTGGTGTATGTGTGTGAGGGGGGGGGCAATCTTAACCCACCGACCTTAACCTTCACTGTCGTTTGACAATGCTGACCCAGTGCTTTTATGTGTTTACTGAGAAGACAGATCGTTCCGACTGAACGCATTCTGTGATAGACCCGATCCAACAGATAGTATGTAATGACAGAACGACCAATCGTTGAGGGGCTACCAGTGAGCGCGATTGATGGATTAACTTGCAGTGACTATGGTTGACATTGTAGGAAGCCTCTTGAGTGCTTTATTGACTAAATGAATTGAGGTTTGTGTGAATCCGTAACCTGAAATATATAGTTATTGCCAATTGGAAATATCTCACTTTTTCTAAAAGCAATTATACATTTTACTGTGTTTAGTCAGCCTTTATTTATATGGCAGTTTCCATATACATTAGGAACAAACATCTTTTAGAAGTTGCCCCAGAAAATTAATTTTCTTTGCTTTGAATCGACTTCACGCGTAGCTCTGCACTCGTCAAAAACAGACACAAATGCTGATTCGTGGGACAACGAGCTCAATTTCCGATGAAACCAGTCCGGGTATAAGAAGTTTACGTACGATTTGGACAACTGTAAAGAGTTAACAAGGAGCATTTGATAGACGTTGCACGTATTATCAGGATCAAGAGATACTGACAACACAGTCTGATTATGTACGTATATTTGATCCAAACTGTTGACCAGCAGAGGTTTTGGTAGCTCGGCTTCATTCAACCCAGTATCAAAGAAATCATCATCCTCTCACATTTGTTGGAAGCCGAGTGTATCCGTAGTGAATTGTTATCGACGCACAACGCAGTTTCTAAAATTTCCTATTTTCATAAAATGACGAATTCTTGGTTTGATTCATAAATTGTTATTTCAACTTATATTATGCTATTTTCGCGAATATCTATCTGCACAACCGATTAAACCATATTGCTCCTGTTTTGAAGTGCTGAGTGCAGGCCTCATCTTGGCAAAGAGCACATAGACTGTTTTGAGGTATGCTATGCCGAGGATTTTGTATAAGGAAAAAAATTGGTTTTGAGGTCCCAGAAATGTCACCTTGGGCCCAATGGAGAAATTGTTGAGAAAAGAGCAAATGACTTTTGCTTTTGACATTGTCCAACGAAGTCAAGGTCAATAGTGAACAGCGTTCACAGCCCCACGAAGGCTTCTCAGCGTACCAAGACTATTCGTTCCGGCGCAATGGATTGTGAGCTGAGGAGTTTTGTTTCCAGATCACGAGCATGTGCCGTTGTTAGTCTAAAACAATATGGGATGAATTCCTGTAATGAGAATGGACGAATCTATATAATTGCAGTTCATAAATCTTTCTGCGGATTCAGCTGTAAGGAAATGATGAGAAGGCCGATGCTGATAACCTCGAACTAAATAATGGTTGCACGGAATTTTATTAGTATTCTTCGTTCAGATGTTTGTCAGAAAGATGACAACCGTATAAATTTAGCCCTTGGTGACCTACGAAGAAAAAAGTAGAAATTAGCTAATGATTTGCTACTAATCCGTTGCTCATGATTCCCCCTGGACAGCTTCCTTTATCCACTTGGTGAATGTATTTGATAAACAATCGGGTTCACCTCTCATTCCTGTGAACGATCCTAATTGTGTTGCGGTGAAAATCATCAAATTGTTTGCCCCAACCCCAATGGGCAAAAAATGAAAATAATTATATTCCAACATCGGGTAAATCTTTGGTCACCTGAGGCAAAGCGCCCAAATCATTCGCCACATTAGTTTGTCCGGTGAGAGTTATAATGTGTCTGAGAATCGATGACACACTCAGTGAAAATTCTTATTGTGTTCTGTTTCTTTTCCAATGGCGGCAACTTCTGTGTCAAATAAATCGAGTACAATTATCCAAATTTATTTTGCTCCAAAGTGAATTTTATCATTTCAGTGAAACTTGTGCACAGTGTCAAAGAATCGTTCCGTTAGATTGGCTAAGTGTGCAACAGTATGAGGTAAGATACATATGTTCTAGTTTCTCTAACGCACAATAGCTAACTACTTTCAACATTCTGAGCAAACTCACCTAAGTATTTGTCACACGTTCGCGTACGTTTGCCGAGGATCGTATTAAAGCAAAATGCAAGCACAACAGAAATTATATACGATCTAATGGATTTTGCGGCAACTCGGGTTATTATGCGAACGAAACAGCGCACTGGAAATGGTTCGAATCAGTTTCACGTGACATTTTCGGATCATCCAGGGGAATGAGAGTTCTGAATTGGCATTCAAAAAAGACCGGAATGTATTGCAATACGCAGTAGTCTACCTCATGCTCCTTGCACACTCTCGGACCCGTCCACACATCTGGATTTGAGTTGATAAGACATTTATGCACAACGAGTTAGAGGGTGTGCGGAGGCAATAAAACGTAGCTACATCCAGGCGGATAGGACTCTGTTTTGAGTAATCAATTTACAGTTGATTGCTTATTTGATAATTGCGAAACCAAGTGCGAATATAAAGTATTCAACATAATTATTGTCAACAATTGTTTATAACAGAGTCGGCGACCAATAATTGTTATCAAATATAAAACATTTACTTGTATAAGTGTTGAACGTACCATCGGGAAACGATAGTATTGAATTATTGCTTCAGCTTTCTCCTCATTGACCGATTTGTGAACGATAATTACTTTGCGGGTACTTGCATTAAATCGATTGCTTAAAGATAATTGTTCCGTGAGATCTTGATTTAGGGTTCATAAATGGCCTGACCAGCTTGACCTAAAGATCAAGAAAATTGCTGGGGTCTAAGTCCTTTTGTTGAATCAATTTATTTTACCTCGATCAGTTAATTGCTAAGAAATTTCTCTGAACTTGCGTAACGGTAGCAGTGGTGATCACCCATTTTCGGATATTTTGATCATTAGGCGGATGCAGTTGTATACCTGTGAAAAATAGATCTCAAATTTACATAATGTTTAAAGTATGCGAAGTTAATTGGTGGTTGCACATTGACGGTATAAGTCACGGAGTCACGGGAAGGGAAATCCTATGATGAGACTGAATTCGTCGCGGAACTATGGTAGTTACCGCGACAAGCTAAACCTCTACCCCATGCTCATTGTCATGTGTCTCATCCATAGTTCCATCAAACGAACAACTAGTTTTGCTTGTAAGCCACTTTCTATTGAGTAACCATATTCACCATTTGCGTTTTCAAATGTTACACCGAAGATCTTCGGGAAGGTTAAATTAGCCTACATTACGTTCATCACCTAACGCGCACACTTCCACAAGTCAAACTCAGTGAGGGTCAATCAAATAGTGCGGTGTATGAACTCGCACAAACGGGGAATAAAGAGCACTTTGAGATTGCATACGTTCCAATATTTTATTGTTCGCATTAAATCACTCAGTTTGTCCATTTCAGTCTGACACATTGCTGACTGCACCTCATACTGTGGAACTCATCAGTAATTGTTCGCAACCCATTAATGTGCCATGGTCGTTGTTCCAGATGTTCTGAATCAAGATTAAAATACTTCTACCAATTCCCTGATTATGCACGTTATCCAACAGCTCATGTGCAGTTCAACGTCGTGTTTGCCATCTGGAAGTCTTAGAATCAGTGTACAGGTATTCTATCAACGTAACTATGACGAACATATCGCAGGGGATTTTGAAGGTTTAAATACAGAAATGCACGAGTGAAAGTCTCACAGAATACCGTGGGGCCAGTTCAAAGCGAAGTCAACAAGAGATCCTCGGCGAAAAGCACATGGAATGTGGCCAACTGTTCACGGAGATCACCGGGTTGTGGGACATTTTGACGTTACCTATAAGAAGAATGACTCTCCTAACA